TGGCCTCCGGCTCTTCCTCCACATCTCCCCGTGCTCCAGTCCTGCTCCAAAGCCCAACCTGGACACACCACGCATCTGCTCAGACGCCATCAATGGCTCCCTACAGCCGACAGGATGCAGCCTCATCTCTTGGACCCACACTCTGGCTGCTCCCCTGCACTGCAGCCAGCCACAGTGGACACGCAGCCACGCCCAAGTCAGTGCCTCTGCCTGGCCTGCCTTCCCACCTGGAGAAAGCTACCCATCCCTCAAGGCGCAGCCCCAAGGCTGCTTTGCCTTCCCCAGTGAAGCCACCCTCCCCTCCCAACCTCATTCCCCTGGGCATGGCTAAGCCCCGCAGCTGGGGGGTATGGGAGAAGGAGTTCTGGGGGCTTGTCACTCAGCCCCAGGCCCTGGCGCTGCTGAGTGTGCCCTCCTCCCTGAGCCAGGGCAGGCCACTCAGCAGGTGAGCTGGCCCTGGAGCCTGGAATGGAGCCATCGCCACCTCACCGAGGGCGAGGACATGAGGCCCAAGAAGGCACCTGCAGCAGCTGCTTCCTGTGCCTGGGACAGCTGCCAAGGCCTCCCTTGCTGAGTGCCTGCTGGGCAAACGGGCGGCCGGGCTCCCAGCTGTTCCCCAGACCAAAGGGCCGGAACACCAAGGTGGAGCAGCTCGGCCCAGGCAGTGGGGTCCACGGGAGGAAGCCCTAACGGATGTGACACGGGCCCGTCTCTCTTTCCATGTCTCACATTGGCTGAGCTAATGTGAGAGAGTTCTGAGCTTTTTTTTAAATAAAGGAGGCCCTTGTGGCACCTCGGCACCGTCACTTAGTCCTCCAAACAAAAGCTCACGAGATCATCTGGTTTGTAAAACCCAGAGACAGAGCTAGGCCCCCATCCCTGGCTTCCAGCCAAGGGGGCACCTTAACACAGCCCTTAGGCCCCTGTTCAGTGGAGTCTGAGGACTAGGGTCTGGGGTCTCTGCCTACTTTGAACCCCATCAGCCCAGCTGTCCTATACAACAATCATAGAATAATCATAAGATTACTGTGTGGGTTATTTACTTAGCAAACACACACTGAAGATCTTGTTGGGCGCCATGATGAAACAGGATGAGGCACATAAACGGCTTTGCAAAGCTGTGGCAGGTTGCGTGAGGGGCATTTTCCTCAACTGAATCCCTCATGTGAGACGACAGAGCAGATGAGATCTGTCCATTGGTTCCGCCCCTTCTGCCCCCATTCCCCCTGCTTCTCTCCAATTCTATGGTGAAAGAACCAATGTCTGACCTCCAGGGCCTGCCTGAGCGTCCCAGCCAACCAGCCTCCTCCACTCAGACAATGCCCTGTGTCTCCCTAAACTCAGGAGAAGATGCCCAAATATCACCAGGACCCTCAACCTGAAAACCCCCAGGAAGCAGAGACCCTGGGGAAGGGGGTTTATGGCAAAGATTATGGATCCTGTTGCCAGGGAGTCAGCTGGGGCTTGGCTGCCAGTCTAACACTCTCAATGGCCTCCCCCTGCCAACTGCTAGACAGACATGAGTCAGGTACAGAGCTCAGGGACCTCACACACGGGGTCCCCAGGCCTCTCACTCCATCCCGTCTGCTCCATGTTCCCTGAGCCTTCCCATGACTCGTTAAGATGGGTTCCGTCCTGTGATGAATTTGGGGGCCTTTTCTAGTGCTCTGGGTTAACATCTGGGCCTCATCTCTTTTGGGGCCTTGCAATTTTGAGGGAGCTCAGTTCCCCCCTCCAGCTGCCAGAAGACCCTCTGCTTGGGGCTCAGCGAGTGATGTCCTCCTGCCCTGGATTCTGGTGGAGCAACCTGAAGAGGAAGGGACAGCTACACAGACCGACAGTCACACAGTACCCAGGGAGCCCTCCCGCGCCCCCCTCCACACACTGTCCCAGAGTGCTCGGTCTAGGGGCCCCCAGTGGTTTCCATGAAGAAAGACAGAGTTCCAGCCCCTGTGGCTCGCTGAGCCTGGCTGGGGATGACTGGCCAGAGGGCTGGGGCTGCAGCACAACCACAAGGCAGGGATCCAGCCATCCTTCCCGACTCCCCAGAACCTTGACAATGATTCTCTCTGGGTTCCTCACAGTGGCCCCCAGGACCCTTGCTGTCCCATGAGACCAATCCTGCCCCAGGCTCAGCCCTATCTACTGCTGCCAGGACAGAGCTGCTCGCCCCTCTTTCACCCAAAGCTCCCTGAAGCCACTAACCCGTCCCATCCCCATCCCCGCCTGCCAAGCCCGCCCTCCCTCTCCTGAAACAGAATTCCAACAGCTTCTGCCATGCCATCTGAAGCACCTCCACAGCAGACCCAGCCTCAGATCCAGAGAGAAGCCAGCGAGGTGGAAAAAAGACGGGTAGCATGTGCGCACACGCACGCACGCTTCAAGGCAGCCAGCTGTCAGGGCTGGGAGAGTCAGGGGAGCCCAGAGTCTCATGAGCAGGCTCCTCTCCCCGTCCCGTGGCAGCGGGGAAGAGGGCACGTGGGGGAGGGAACCCTATATTCTCTTCTCTTTGTCTCCCGGACTGAGAGAGGCACAGGACCACCGCTGTCCGCTGTAGGCTGACATCAAAAAACAGAACCAGCCCCTTCCTCATCTTTCACCTGGCTCTGTTCCCCAAAGCGCAAGGTCAGGCTAAACATGGGGCAGAGGTGACACCTGCCTCCAGCGGAGCACCTTGGCCCACGCCTCCATGGTGGCAGCCTGGCACCTCTCTCTCTCTCTCCCAGCATGCCTCACAGACATCCCTGAAGAAGGCCCCTGCTCTCCCCGCTACTCCTGGCTTCCTTGTCCCAGGTGGGAAAGAGGATGGACTCCCCCTGCTCCAGCCCCACCCCAGGAGAATCAAGCCCAGAGCACAGCTGACAGGCTCCCACAGGGGGAGGAGGGAGGACTTTCATCAAAGAGGTGACGTCAAAACCAGGCAACCTGTGAAGCTGTCAGGGGCCGGGAACTTTGGACAAAGGTGTCTAAAAATAAACTCCTGAAGCCAGGAAAAGGCTTTGGTGGCTGAGCTGCTCGCCACCGTGCCACAAACCCCGCATTCTGTTCTGAGGTCTGGAACCCAGAAAGCCTTCTTATGGGGGCGCTCTTCCAGACCGGCCCTCGGGGTTGAGAGTGGCACAGACAGGCCCGGAGATGCCGCGCACCAGTCCTTGCCTGGGTGACCTGGGTGAGCCCCCACCCCCAGGAGGCATGCTGAGTGGCCTTGGGCACTGATGTCTCCCTTCCCGCACCCCCCGCCAGCCAGCCCCCCCGCCGCACCCTTCGGGCCGCCACCCTCCAGTTCCCAAAGAAAACCACCGCCGGGCTCCCTGGGCCCTGTCCTGCTGCGGTGACAGCTCTCGCGTTTCTTCTCTTCCTGTCCTTGACCTCCGAGGCCAGCGCTGGTGGCCCAGGGCGCTATTTATTCCTTCTCGGCCCTGACCCGGGACTGTTGCTCCTCACCCAAGGCCTGTCTGCCCCCGTTTCCATCACAGAGGCCCCGTCCTTTCCCCAAGCTGCTCTGGGAAACAAAGCCGCCAGGTCCTACGGACCCACCAAGTTCACATTCCTGCTGCTTGCTTCTGTCCCTGACCAGGCCACAGGGTGTCCTGCAGGCAAATACTGTCAATAGGCCCCTGTCCCCAAACATGTGGGCAAACGCCACCCTCTCGGAACTCCACCCCCACCCCCACCCCCACGTCTCTCAGGCAGCTCCCCCACACAGCCCACAATGCTGGCTGCCCCCCAAACCAGGTCCTCTCCCCTCAGCTCTCCACATCTCAGTGAGAAGCACCCCTACACGCCTGCCCACCTGGACACGAAGGAGACCGAAGCCTGCTGTGACTATTCCCACTCTCTCCCCTCCCCACATCCAATCCACCGGAAGTCCATCAGTTTCACCCCCAAATAGATGGTAAATCTCTGCCCTTGTCTGCCTCTCTGTAGCCACTGCTCTTGCCCAAGCCCTGCCACTCACACTAGGATTAGTGACAGCCTTCTAAGCACGGCCACCACCCCATGATCCATGATCAGTCCCCCTCTCCACCCTAGGTTGGGACAGCCCGTCCTGTACAGGTGTGGTGGCTCAGGTCGTTACTTTCCTGCTGAGACACTGCAGGGACTTCCCACTGCCTTTCCACCAAACCTCTGCCTCACTCTGCCCTGCCCAGCACCCCCTACCCTCTCCAAGGGCTCTTCTAGGATTCTGCCTGAGGCTGCTCCTCCGAGAGGCTGCCCATGCTGGTCCCCTGCCTCTTCTCGCCCTGTGCTTTTCCAGCACGTGTCCCATTTACGTCTGACATTTATCACCTATCTCCACACCTCACTAGAAATGTCTATTCACGCACTGACATCTCACATCGTGTCCAGCACAGCATCAAACTAACACAGACATTCAATAAAAACGAAGCTGGACAGACGAATAAACAGTCACTTCCAAGCCCAAATTGGGGTCATTTCCCTAGCACCCAAGTTTCCAAACGTTTCAGAGGAACAGGGAACGTTTAAAACCATCTCAGTGGATACAGGGACCCGCCAGATCCAGGGGCGGGTTCTCTTGCTTCCTCCAGGCAGACTGGCTGACGGCGTGGCCCACAACCAGATTGGGAGCTGAAGGAAATGGGCCTGGCACTGCTGCTCCAGGCCAGGACTTAGGGAGCAGGCACACAGGCCTGCCTGGGCAGGCGCGGGACCAGGGGCAGCACGTGGACAGCGGGGGCTGCAGCCACTGGGGCCTCAGGCCCCTTGCTCTGCAGGCCTCCAGCAGAATGGGTGGGGGCGGGGCCTGTTCATCTGAGTCTGGAGTGGGGGCTGAGCACAAGGATGTCCTCAAGCCAGAGCTGAAATGACCAGGCTAGGTTTCTGTACAAGCCTGGTGTTCCTGGTAGACACTCCAGGCCTGGGCATCTGGAAGCGATGCCAGCAGCCTCCGCCCACCTCCCTCGCTGCACAGAGCCCCAGCGTGCTCCCTCTTTTCCCTCCCAGCCCGGGCACACACACACACCAGGTCTGTGTCTCACCTTGATGTAGGCATTCAGGGCAGGATGGACACGGCGGGCAGCCAGCCAGATGGACAGGGCGCTGGTGTGGGGGAAGGTGGCTGTCACCACGTGGCTGGGGGCCGGGAAGGAGAATACCTTGAAGCCAAATTTCTGGTAGAGCTGTATGAGCTCAGGGGAGGGTGACTCCACGCCTTCACTCAGAATGCTGCCCACCGCACAGCGGCACTTCTCGGGGGGCACCTGGGGAGGCAGAGCAGGGCTGTCAGTGTGGGGCAAAGGAAAGAGGCCCTCAGACCTTGTCTCCTGGGCTCTGTGCCAGCTCGGGCCTGGCAGAACCACCAGCTCTATCAGGCCGTGGGCCCGATACCAGCACAGAGAAGTCTACTTTCCTGCTGCCACCCATCTGTGGCCCCGGCCTGGGGCATCCTCCTGCAAGACTCATTCCTTCCTCCCTTTATTCCTCCAGCAACAGTGCCAGGCCCCCTGCTGCTGGGCAGGGGCTGCAGGAAGCGCTGGTGGGGGCGCAGGATGGCAGTGAACTCTGGGTTGCTGATGAAACTCTGAGAGAGTCTCTTCCCCAGTTCCTCAGGCAGGGCCAGCCACCACCACTCAGGTCCCCCAACCTCTGCAGCCCATGCCCCATCCCAGGCCCCGCCCCTTCCTGGCTAAGCCAGAGAAGGCTGGTTCCCCTCCAAGTCTCTCTGGGCCCCTAGTATCTGTACTACACTCTGCTCCCTCCCCTGGCACCCACAAACCCCAGCCAGGTGGGGTGCCTATGTGTGTCTCCCACACTTCCTAGGCCTGATCCCAGGCCTACCAGGCCCAGCACTCGCTTCTCCTTCTGGCATGAAGGGGCCCCAGTGTGTCTCACCTCGAGCCATCTGTACCAGCCCTTGGCTGGCTCCCCAGGGCTATCTGTTCCAGTCTAAGAGGCTCACTACAGGCCTTGTGCTCTTAATTCCAGGTTCTCCTTGATCTAAAGGTCCCTTTCCCCTGTCCCCAAGGCCTACTGGCCCCTAAAATTCCCTCCACTTGCTCCGGTCCCCAGTCCACCTTCCCAGCACTGAAATCATTTTCACCTGTTCTCGCTTCTGCCCTCCACCTGGCCTTTCCAAGCCTTGTCAACAGTCCCCTGGGGGCGTTTTCAGCCTGCTCTGCCTCTCTGCCCCGGCCAACCCAGCCCTGTACTGGGAGTCTCGCTTTGCCTGGGACTTCGGAACTCCCTCCAGGCTCTCCTCTCTGTGCAGTCCCTGGGGGTCACCCCCAGTGCTCCGTGGCTCTGGTCCCCTTGCTGCCCCTTGAATCCTGTGTCATTAAGCCTAGCTCAGGGCTTTAGAGGCAGGTAATATGGTGCAGTGGTCAGGACCACACATCTGGAAAGAGGCAGGCCTGGGTGGGAATCCTGAGTCGTGTGATTCTGGACAAGTCCCTTGGTTTCTTGGAGCCCGCCTTCCTTGACATCTACTTAAAAAGCTGTCGTATAGGGGCCGGCCGAGTGGCTCAGTTGGTTAAGAGCTCGCTCAAGAGTTTGAGCTCTGAGCAACAGCGGTTCGATGCCTGGCCTCCGCTAAGCTGCCAATAGGTAGCAGGATGGCTCAA